CGAACCCGATTAACCTGAAAAACCCAATGAACCCAACAAAGCTGATACAGCAGATGTTCTAAGTTTCATCCGCGTCTGTCTCGATGGGACTGAAATCGTCCGCACGAGAAATGAGACTTTACGAGAAAACGCACCAACTACAATATGGCCAGGTAATGAGGGTGACCCAATGCAATCACACCCATTTCTTATACTCCACTTTACCATTCTGACGAGGCATGGTATGATTCGGTTGGCTATTTCATGACCAATATACATTCTTGCAGGTGGTATTAGTTGTTTCCTTGCCCGAATACTCACAGGTAGGATCCTACAAGTTGTTTACGAATGTGCTATTGTGTATTGTTTATTGTATATTGTGCGTTGTGTATCGTGTGCATGCAAAGCCCAAGTCATGTCGAGTGTGATTCGCAATCAGACTCAAGGCTATTCAAGCCTGTTTCACTTTCTCAGCGGTTCTTCTTATTCCCTCTCCTCCTTTCCCCCATCAAGTCTAGCCAAAAAGCCACAAGTAATTCCTGCTCATTTTCGTCCACTCCTTCCTCCAATTCAGGATGTTGGCAATTTCTCTTTATTTCTATGCCTTCACTGATCCTGGGCAAGACGCTGTAGATACGAAGAGTAACTGGCTTTCGATTAAACTCATAAGATAACATCGTTGAGGAGACTTTCATTTCGTATGAAAGCGCTTGAAGGATAGATTCGAAGGTCGATCCCACCAGAAAAGGACGGTTATTTCGCGTTGTACTGCAGCTGCTTAGCTTTAATACGACCTAGTTTTAGCGTGAGACTTGACAAAAATGAATTTCAGCCCCAATGATGTCCGTCAAATAATGAAAGACAGCTCAGCCCGTTTTCACCCTACGAAGGAGGTCTCGTGGACTGCGTCAATCTGAGGATCAATTGCAGTACAACGACAATCAGCCGTCATCTTCTGGTGAGTCGACTTCGAATCTCTTTTTCATGCACTTTCCTATAAAAAGAAAGTATCCCCAGAAAGACGCTGTATTTTGGAGCACTTTACTTCGTGTCCGGCTAGCTGAGATTTTCGAACTCATAGACCTTTGCAGACGGTTTTCTGTTCAACTTGTCTCTTCTGTATGAGTTGCCAGGTCTCTCGCACACAAACATTGCCACATGAGCACAAAAACGAGCAGCATTCTGATTCAGCAGTCTTCACTCCAAAGCAGTTCTCCTTCGGTTTACGGCAAGACCAAGCCAGACATTTTTGCCAACCAACTTTTTCTTTGAAAGAAAAACAAGATGCCACAATAAATAACTACAGAAGTCTTAGGAACCCAGTATTTATTTGCATAAGCCGATAAAGAAACTGAAAATGCATGTTTATGCTGCGTCTGTCGTCAGCTGGGTTATTCAGCCGTGTTATCAATGCTGCAACTGATGATGGTGATGGTGAGGCAGATGGTGAATGGAATTTGCTGTCGCCCAAGAAGTCTGGCCCTTCGAGGAGTGCCTCTCTTACGGTCCAGTATGCCCGACGAGTATACCTGTAGTGGGAATAAAGCCCGGCCTACCACTGGCTCGCCAGCCGAAGCCAGGCACTCCGCCTCGAGACTTGCCAAAAAACAAAAGTTGCTGCTATCTGACGTGGTATGGGCATCACATGTGACATGTGGTATGCCACATGCCATATGTCACAAGCTCCATGTTTCCTCAAGTGCTTTACCAAAACTCATCACATCTTTCGGCCGGACTGTTCGACGTGGCCTCATTCCTTCTATTTCCTGCTCCCTCTCGCCACATCCCGAAATGTTCTATTCTCCCCCTTTACTTCGCCATTTTTGGGGCAACAAGGGTGTCCACTTCTGCAGCACAATCCCACAAAAAAGACAGCCAGTGGCTTCTCCTTGACGAATATGTGCGGAAAAACGCAAGTTAGCCGGCCTCTAAGAAGCAAGCGAAAAGATGACTGAAACAGAGCATATTATACGTAAATATGGAAGTGAAAACAACTTGTTACCGACCGACACAGAATCCATACAATCCAGCGTACATCGAGAGAAAGTTGAAGGTCTGCGGCAGAACGAGGATGCTGAAGTGGCACAGGCCAGTGGAAATCATGCCAACCGCGCTTAAGTAGACGATGTTTATTTGGCCAGGCAGATTTGCCAACACGCCGCCGATCACACGACCCAAAGTGTGCAGGAGACCTGAATGTGGAAATGAAACAAGACGCAGGCATGTTTATTACCAAAATGTCATTTTGAATTAAGTTGAGTTAAATTGAATTGAGTGGAGTGGGATAGAGTAGGGCAGAGTGGAGAAGCATAGTGGAGTAGCGTATAGTATAATATAGTGGAATAGGGTAGAATAAAGTGGAGTAGAGTGGAATAGAGTTATGTCGCTAGGTCTCAACCCCAGAGAGACCGTGAAATGTAGCCTCGTCAAGTGCTCCTTCGGTTGCCAACGATTGTTGGGCCACTTATTTGGTGTCTCGAATGTTCGCACAGTTGAAGGCTACCGGAGGCATGG